GGTTAAATGCACAGAGTTCCCGGCGGAGGCTCCCGGTGATGGTTTTGGCTGGGACGACAGCCTCCATCCCGTAGGCTAAGGAGAAAGGAGTTTCTTCCGTAGCCTTTCGTGGGGTGGTTCGGCATGCCCAAAGCGCCTCAGGTAGTCTTTCAAACCAAGAACTTTTACTGATTCTGAGACGTTTCTTGAGGTTTGCTAAAATCGACTTGTTAGCAGCCTCCGCCTGATTGTTTCTCTGAGGGTATCGAGGTGTCGACATAGTGAGACGAATTTTCCACTTGTCAAAAAATGCTTTGGAGTCATTAGTTATTAATTGTGACCCGTTATCGGTTATGATTTCGTATAGGACACCGTGACGGCATATGATATCTCTCCATATGAGTCGTTCGGTTTTGACTTTAGTTACCTGCTGGAGAGCTTCAGCTTCTATCCATTTGGTGAACTAGTCTGTTAGGACAAAAAGGAAGCGTAGCTTTTGCTTTCCTCTTCCTGATTTTACTAACGGTCATATGATATCCATGGACCATCTCATGAACGGGTATGGGGCGGATATCGAGGATAGTTTTTTCGTAGGCTGATGTCTAATTGGTGCATGCCTTTGACATATGTCGCATGAGGACGAGTAGACCTCACAGTCAGCGATAATGGTGGGCCAGAAATAGCCTTGCCTTTTGATTCGGATAGCTAAGACTCTACCATCGGAGTTGTTTCCACAGGGGCCGTCATGCATTTCTTTCATGAGTTTAATAGCGTCGAGGCCGTGGGCGCATCTCAGGTAAGGAATGAATACGCTTTGTTTATAAAGGATAGATTCCATTATGCAGTATCTTGCGTTTATTGCTTTGAGTTTTCGAGCTTCCCATTTATGGGGGGGACCTTGCCCTCCGAAATATACTGCATAATTGGGATTCTCCAGTCCTCTCGTCCTATGATTTTGTCGTGAAGGGAGGGAGGGGGTCCCGGTGCTGGATCAGGTTCCCGGGTATTGTTGCGGCCGGAGGTCGTGTCCCTGGGGATATTCCTTTTGTTAGGTTCGTCGGAACCTAGATCTGGAGGAACATCTCCAGGTGTGTTATTGATCTCCGGTGCAAGGATTGTGTCTCCGGTTGGAGTTTCGGGTTCAGGGGAATATCTTGTTCTGCGAGTGTTTACTCTTAGGACAAGTGAGCCTGAAGGCTGGACTATGCCCCCGGAGGTGTGCTTCCTGAATTTGCGAGCTTTGGTTTTTGGCAACCAGAATGTTGTTAGAACTTGGGTTGCTGCTGATTCGGAGCAGCTACCTTCTGTTTGCTCTTTCGGTTTACTATCGATCTCAGCTTTGGTAGCTATGTCGATGTTTGGTTTTTCGATTCCTTCTACAGGTATGATTCGTTTTACTAGGGGGTCTGATGTGGATGCTAATGCAGCCAACGCGTCTGCTGAGGAATTCTCTCCTCGTGGGATT